GCAGACGGTACCCAGGTGACCTCAGCCGGACCAACACAGCCCTTCGGATCATCTGTTTGGGACACGTGCACCCTCCAGGCTTACTCTAACCCCGTATATGCCAGTTATTCCGTGTGATGATGTTAGTTTTTATAATATGTTTCAATAGTAATATGGTGTAAGTCCTCCAATAGCAAGTGAAAACCAATTATATATATTTAAACCCTTGGGTATATATGAACCTGGTAAACACAGATTCACAGCCAACAACGGAGACAAGCGTAAGAGAGCTAATAACATTATTTAGGAACAATTCTGTTGAGTGCTTGAGTGTTTGTCCCACTGAAGAACTCATAGTTCACCCTCATAACAGAACACATAGCCCGCCCTCATGATAGAACACATAGCTCGCCCTTATGATAGAACGCATATCTCACCCTCATGTTAGATGACAGAACATATATCCCTCCTTTATGAGAAACTTATAGCTCGCCTTAAAGATAGAACTCATAGCTTGCCCTCATGATAGAACACAGCTCGCCTTTACGAGAGGACATATACCTCGCTCTTGTAACAGAACTCACAGCTCGCCCTCATGAAAGAACTCACAACTCGATCGCATAGAAGTAATGATAATAATATTGAAGTGTGTTATATGTTTAATGATTAAGCTTCATCCCAAGAAATGCAAGTGTGTTTAGATGGGAACGGGACAAGGATGAAGTTTTTATCTTGTATAGAAAATAAATTCAGTGAGACAGTTATTGTTTTCTTTGCCCTCGTAAATATCTCATATGTAAACATGTGCTGCGTCACCTCACAGAACTACATTTCTGATGTGGTTGTTCTAATGATCACTGGAGCCATGAGAGATTCATAATGAATAGTGATACATGTTATCGTTCATACCAATAAGGCAACCCAGGAGGAAATATCAGCAGCCTTAAAAGTTCTATACGAAGTATTGATTTGTACTTTAACACAAAGTGTTGAGGTACAATATAACATAAATGGGCTGACTTTATGATTTCACGCACACACACACACCACACACACACACACACACACACACCACACACACACACACGTATATATATTTATATATATATATTATATATATATATATATATTATATATATATATATATATATATATATATATATATCTACGTTAATTTTAACTGCAATAAATATATATAATATATATATATATATATATATATATATATTATATATATATATATATATATATATATATATATATATATATATATATATTGTGACAATAATCTCCTTCAAGAGATTGAGCCTGCTCTCCCTCCACAAACACGTCGTTGAAATTATATAAAACGACTATGGAAGACATGTCCAACAACAACAACAACACCAGCAAGGCTTGCCAGGGTGAGCAAAACATATGCAGCCAGCCACCTGTTCGGACTCAAACCACCAAACTACATGTTGATCGCTACCGGCTCCGCTGATTGGTCGCCGGTCTGGCTGCACCTGCACTCGCCCCCCCATACTACTTGATGTCTGGGGTCGCCCCAACCTCCTACCTCAGAATGTTCAGTGCTCTCGTTGTTACCACTTCTCCCGGCTAGACGCTAGCGTGTACTGAGGGAAGTGGTAGCTTAAGCCAATATTCCAGCACCTCCCATTTACTTGTATATTGCACTTCTTGTTATTTTGTCTTAACGTAACTTTTCATTGTGTCATTTAAGTATTCTTATTATTTTGATTGATTTTATTATAAGAATTTGTTTGTGCATTTTATTCATGTTTTGATTTAATTAACGTAATTAAAATTTCATTGTTAAAGTTTACTTGTGTTTTGTGTGTCTTCTCCTTACCTTACCACAGACGAAGTTCCAGTTTTTTCTATTTTTTTTTATAACTATGTGACGAGGCCATACCCCTAGCCTTAAACAGCCGAACACCAACGCGTTACCGTCACAAATATATTATATATATATTATATATATATATATATATATATATATATATATATATATATTATATATATATATATATATATATATATATGTTTCATTGAATATGACCGCATATTCTGTATTTATTATTTTCTGGTTTAGGGCTTCTATCCCTCTAACTATTTTCTTAGCATCAGGGCTTAATTGAAATAGGAGTTCTCCAAAACTCATTTTCGTACTTTTAAGGTGAAGAAAAGAAGTGATTTACTATAGAGTGTATTACACTTATTTGTATAATTTGCACGACGTTTCGAACCTCCATGGTTCATTCTCAAGTGAACAGATCTTACAATATTAGTTGATTTTATACCCGCATTAGGTCAGGTGATAATATAATGAAGGTGAAAACATGGGGGGATACATAAGGGATAAACATAGGGGCTTGCAGAAGGCTTATTGGCCCATACGGGCATCTCCTATCTAAACACAAAGATTAATCCAGTGTAATTGACCTGTTATGTTGGACATTGTCTTCTGTGTTGGCATCGATATGTTCTTGTCTTGTCCTTACTCTCATGGTGGGTAGAGTAATAGTTCCGTGATTTGGGTGTTCATGGTAGGTCGCTCTATTCTTATGTGAATTGCCTGAAGAATTTGTATCTTCTTGAATCTTGGGTTTTGTCTATTATGCAAGTATTCTTGTTCAACATTTCTCTTGTTAGAGTAATGTCATGGGCTTGTCTCATGTGATTCCTAGGGGCACCAGATTGAAGATGGCATGTCAAAAACGCCTCGTCAGCTTGGTCGACGTCATACCTATGTACTTACATTGAAGGTTACATCCTTCGTGGGGGCAAGTGTACATGTATACAACGCTTGACTGCTGTAGAGGGTTCTCCGTCGGCTTCGGGCTGTTTTTGATAAGGAGTTCGGAAGTCTTCTTGGTTTTGTAGAATATTATCAGGTTTATGTTTTGGTTAGGAGTAGTGCTTTTTACTCCTTTACGGATTATTTCTTTCATTATTCTTTCCCTCTTTTATATGTTCACTGTGCATGGTTGATTTGTAATATAATTTTATTGGGGGTGTTGTGGTTTCTGTTCTAGGTTCTGAATTATACCAACGGTCCAAGTGTCTTCACTATTTTCATGTGTAAATCGGAGTACTGGCTCTCTCTCTAGGTGTCTTTTTAGGTCA